CGAGTAGGAGTATGAGTATGAGTATGAGTATGAGTATGAGTATGAGCCATGAGTATGAGTATGAGTATGAGTATGAGTATGAGTATTAGTATTAGTATTAGTATTAGTATTAGTATTAGTATTAGTATTAGTATTAGTATTAGTATTAGTATTATTATTAATATTAGAATTAGTATTAGTATCAATATCAGTATAAGTATTAGTATTTGTTTTAGAATTAGTATTAGTTTTTAGTGTAGTATTAGTGTTAATATTAGAGCTCACATGGGCAAATATACGTTGCAATATCGAGAGTCGTTATGAGTAGATGTGGTATAAAAATATTTTTCAAGTTACAATATGTCGATATTTACTAATGATACACGAGTTTTGTTTTAAAACACTGGACAGGACAATGAGATCAATATTGAATTCTCACAAACCTTTTGTTACTTAAGCATGCATATTTTTTGTATGTTCACGTTTATTTGCAATGAGTATAATTTTCCATGAATAATCGAGTATGTTGTTTTTTGTGCAAGATTAGTCAATGCATACATCTTCATTTTTTATTTATATTTTTTTTTGTGTAAGTAATGGGTTGAACTTGTATATTGAAATTGATGAATAATAACAGGTTATTCGTCCTCTAATGATAAATTTGACTGTAGTTTTGTGTTATAATTTACCAACATTTAGATTAATGGGAAATAGTGGTTCATTTATTCGTATGCTATCTTGAAGTTCTTGAAGTTGGTTGTGGGATTTTGAAGTGGATGATATTTATAACATTTGCATTTTTATATTTATGTAGACTTTTTGCTGATAAAATGAAAACACATTTTTTTTTGTTCGTCGATGTTTTTAAATTTGTTGTTTTTTTACATTAATGCGCTTTGATATGAGAATTGATTCCCGTGCATCATCGCACGGGTGAGATACTAGTTATGATTTTAAAATATGATGGACTAAAACTCTCAACTAATAAACTTACAGGACTAAAAAGTTCATTTTGCCCAAGAAGAAAATAGTTTGCGAGATAGAGGAAATCCTCAACAACGGCACCATAGAAAATAAATTCTCCCAATTTTCAAATTTCTAATTTTCTTATTTTTGTAAATTGTGGAGTTTGATTCAATAATATTTGGAAGAATAAAACAAAGGCCGCGGCTACTCGCTAATAAGTATAAGACCAAATTAAAGAAAAACTACAAAAAAGTTGTATTTTATTAAGATGAAATGACATATATCCCATTAGTTAAATTAATTTTGTTAGTTCATGCAAGACCAAATAATAAAATAAATATTTTGTAAAACTAAAAGAAAAACATAAAAAAAAAAAAATTAAGAAAACCCGCCCCCGTGTAACCCTTCACCACGCGTAATCATCTGCTCCGCCGCAAACTCGCCGCCCAAGCACCACCGCCGTCGCAAGCTCGTCGCATGACCGTTGCCGCTCACAGTACAACCATGAACGACCTAATTCCTTATTTTGTTCAACCTTCAAAAAAAAGAGGGGGAAAAATTAAAATTGAAACTGATAATAATCGACATCAAGGTGTCGAAAAAATATGCAAAAAATCGACACTTAAGACTCGAAATAAAGCACAAAAGATCGACATTAAGAATAGGTTGAATTTTGCTTGAAAAAATCGACACCCCATTGTCATATTTTGAGCAACCAAATCGTTATGTTGGTTATGTCGAGTTTGTTGCCCAAATATCGACATCTTAGTGTCGACTTTTAGCTACAAACTTCAACCTGCAAATGTCGAACGTATCTTCGCGGATTTTTTTTTGTTTTTTTGGCAAAACAATATCCTAGCTAAAAAACACATAGATGCATATCTTCTTGGGTTCTTCCACCGTAGAATCTTCCATTTTGATGTCTTTTGACTCCATACTTACCCTGTTTGAAGGTTTGTTGAGTTTTGAGGATTTTGAATGTTTAGGTTTTGTGGGTTTATGGAGAATGAAGGAGAAAGGTTTTGGTGGGTTTTGGAAAATGGAGAAAATGAGAGTTTGCTTTTGTGGTTTTGTGGTTTTGTGGTTTTGTGATTTTGTGGTTTTGTGGTTTTGTGATAGAGTTTTTTGTGGTTTTTGAGTTTATGGTATTGCATATTTTGATTTTTCTTAACAAGGGTGTTATAGTTTTGTACATTGAAAATTTTAATTTGGTCTTATACTTATTAAAATTAGTATTGCAAATAGTCGCGACCTAAAAGAAATCCTTTTTAATGGCTGATCTAGATCCAATTTTGATGTAAACAAAATTTTGTTCGTTATTTTATTTTAAGAATATTTACCTATACTTAACTATATTTCGTGAAAATAAACACGAATCCTACTTTAATTCTCGATTTGTCAAGTGTGTAACTTATGTGTTGCTCGATATAAAACCTAAGCCTGAAAAATTAAATGAGCCGAGTTTTCTCCTACAACCATAAAGCTTGATAGTATTTGAGTTTGAGCCTAAAGTTTCGAAACCCGATAATATTTGAGCTTGAGCCAACATGCAAGCTCGACTTACATGGCCCGACTACCAGCCCGACCCCTAAAATAATTTATGGGGCCCTCTTACTATTATCATAAATTTACAAGGGCACTTTACAAATAAGCTCATCAATGGGAACTTATTCATAAAGATGTCAAGACAAAAAGCTATTTTATAAAAAAATCAACACATTGTTGAGATGTTTGTAAAATACTAAAATAGTCCCTCACATTTTAATATGCTCCAATTTCATTTTTTTAATTTAATTTAACCTCAATTTGACACCAAATTTCATCCAGCGTTGACTTTTTTTTTATAAATTTTCTTCCTGATTTTTCCGCCGCCGGTCTCCGGCGTTGACTTTTTCGATTTTTTTTCTTTAACATCTTTTTGCCTTATGTTTAAACAACAATATTGTTGTGGCTGACAAGAAAATTAACTATATTACTGTTAACAGTAAAATTAACGTAATATTAATATGTTGACCGTTCAACAAGCCAAAAGAATTAATATTACTGTGGTTGACAGTAATATTACTGTAACAACAATAATATTACGTCGACCACAATAATATTATTGTGTTTACAGTAATATTATTACGTTACTCCGTCAACAACTCAAACAAAACAAAAAACCCAAAAAATAATAATACTGATGTGGTTAATAGTAATATTATTGTGTTTACAGTTACTTTACTGTCAACGAAAGTAATATAATTACGTAAACTTGCATTGTCAACAAATCAAACAAATTAAAAAAAAAACCAAAAAAATAATAATATTGTCGTTGACTCTAATTGTACTGTCAACGAAATTATATTTTTAAAATTTTATTTGTTCCAAGTTTTGTGGTAAAAATAAATAAGGCAAGAACAATAGTATGTATATAATATATTCAAGTTGGTTTAGTGTATAAAATAATACTAATGGAAAAAAGATGTAATATTTCTTAGTTTTTAGGCAAAATATGGGATTTCCCGATCCCAATCCCGATTCCCGAAATATTTAGGGATACCGATATAATCGGGATTTAATAGTTTGGGACGAGATTGGGATTTAAAATTTCTATCCCGAATCCCGAAATCCCGATCCCGAAAATCCCGAATACCCGTCCCGAACTCACCCCTAATAAAGATGGTTGGTCCGATACACAAAAACCGCAATTTATAAAACCAATTAGTTAATGGCTACTAGTATCCCTCCACTGACCCTCTCCAAACGCCAAACGACTAATTCATGTCCATCTTAAATGAGAAGCAATTTCGGTACATGAAATCAACATAAAGACTTCGAAAGTCTAAAAGCCTCTTCATCTTCCTATGCACATACTTGAACACATTAATTTTAAATATTTGTATTACTCGTAACTAATAATCAAAATGGACTTATAAATAGAGGAACCATGGAGTAGATTTCTTCATGCTAATTCTAAAAGCATCATCATTATTATTAATATTAATAGAAGCAAAAAAATGTACTCATCAACATCTTCTTCCGGCGGCATAATAATGTTCAACCCCACAGTTTCGAAGTACTATGTAACATTCGGCGGAACCAGAATCGAAACAACAGTGACGGATAAGGCAGCCACCGCTACTGAATGGGTTAGAGAAATTATGGCCGAGTACGGAGGAAGGCCCTCCGCTGTGGGCTTAGACGTGGAGTGGCTGCCGCACCCCATCCGCCACATGAGCAACAAATCAGCCACACTCCAACTCTGCATAGACAAAAAGTGCTTAATCCTTCAGCTTTTCTACATGGATGAAATCCCACAATCAATCAAGTCATTTCTTCTGAACCCTAATTTCACATTTGTTGGGATTGAAGTTGAAGATGATGTTACTAAGCTGAAGAATGAGTACGGTCTTGACTGCGCTAGGAATATGGATGTCAGGGCTGCAGCCAAGAATCGATGGCCCGGAAGATTCTCGAGGCCCGGGCTAAAGGATCTTGCAATGGAAGTGTGTGGGCTGAATATGAAGAAGCCGAAGCATGTTTGCATGAGTAATTGGCAGGCAAGAGTTCTTACTGAAGCTCAGATTGAGTATGCATGCATTGATGCTTTTGCTTCTTACAAGCTTGGTCATAAGCTGCTTAATTATTGAGAATTGATAAAATTATGAATGTGATAATTGTTTCTGGCTCTTTAATTATTAGTGTCAGGTCAGCTATTAAATCAACTTAAATAAATTAAAGTTCTCCATTCCTAGTATAATAATGTTGATCTCTACATATAATGAGTCCTTTGAATTTTTATTATTATTCTTTTTGCTTTTTTTTTTTTAATAGGAAGAATTAATCTATGAATTGAATATTTGCTATTAAATACCAAATGTGATGTTTGGTCTGATTATTAAAACTAAAAGTTCATTAGTAAACATTGATAATACAATCACAAACATTAATTAAATTGGGGTATTACATACATCCTTGTTAAACTCTCTAATCTATGGAAATAAACTAAGATCATCAAATTATTCTTCAACTAATCAAATCAGCCATAAATCAGTCAATCTAATTAACATTTAATTGAATCTAAAATAGGAAAGCTTTTAAATCATTGTCTTGATCTTCCAAGACTGAAATACACTAATAAAGAGCCCTCCAAACTCCTAAAAAACCTGTGCATCTTTAATTGTGAATCAAAATAGAAAGCTTTGGCTGTTCCAAATCAGTTCTTATTTCTTATTCTGTTTTTCCGAACGATTTTTTTTATTTTTAAGAATTGTGAATCAAAATAGAAAGCTTTGGCTGTTCCAAAATAGAAAGCTTTGGCTGTTCCAAATCAACCTTTTTCAAATTTGAGTTTTAAGAATCAAAGAAATTAAATTTGAATTAGTTTTCTCATTAATCAGTTGATAACACCATCTTTTTTCCCACCTGTAAAAGGAGGCAGTTGGACCTCATTTTTACTTAATCCAACAATTTACAATCTATATGTTTCTCTCTACTGAAATTCTGAGTTATTATCCAACAATTTACAATCTATATGCAAACTTCTGTTTCATTTTAAATTTCAGGTGAAGTTACAACAAACTGATAGGTTGGATTGTTGTATCGCAACACAACATACACGCTTGAACCTGTAAAATCTTAAACGTAAGTAACTAAATGTTTTTTTTTATTAAATATATTACTTACACTTTTTTCAACTATTTCATACAATGGGACAATTTTAAGATCTAAAATATTGCTATTGGACTCTTCAATTATTTGTTTTTATGAAAGTAGTTGAATTGCTTTATCAAAAAATAAAATAAATATATTCTATGCAAAAAATAAATGGTGACTTTAAGAGCACTAGTATCTTATTAATAAAAATAAGGTTGCTCAGTTAAATCCTATGGAAATTTTTCCCGCTCGTTTTAGGGCTATTAATATCATTTATTATATTTTAATTATTTGGGTGTATTTTGTTTATTAATGTTTTTTTTTTTATTGCTGAAAATTGGGGAATTTTTTTAGATTTCCTAAAAGCTGTAAATATCTCTTGGGCTGAAAATTGGCAGATTTGGCACCTGTGGTTTCAGGGTTTGGCACTTAACCCCCCTGTGATATCGATTTGGTCACTTTACCCCCTGGGGTTGACACAATGTAGCGGCCGTCTGTTTATCCGTTAAAGTTAACAACAAGTGTCTCTCACTCGCCCTAAATTGGCGTGGTTGAGGTTTTCCAAGTTGTAATTTTATGTATATACCCATCTTACCCCTTTTACATTTAATATAAACCCCTTTTGCCAAAGTATTTTCTTTCATTGCTTCAAATTAATTGAACAACCTTTTTCTTCTCCTTTTTCTTACATTTTTTTTCCTTTTTCTCGGTTTTTTTTTCTCATGTCTTCTTCAAGCAGCAGCAGATTTGGAGCCCCTGAAAGTGTTGATCTTTGATACAATGGGAAGGTATGTTCTTGTGGGCAAAAAACACTCATAAAAATTGTGGAATCTCAGGTTAAGCCTTCAAGGGGTCGATTGTATTTTGTATGCGGGCTACAACTTGTGGCTTTCAAGGATGGTGCATTCCCTACACTTGGCAGCCCAACTGCAACAACAACATCAAGAGCTGAAAATGGATTTGAGCAAATGGTTGTTGCCATAAAGACAAGGGTTGAAGTTGTTGAAGCTAAACAAGAAATGATGAAGCAAATGGTGGTTGGATGTCTTATTCTGTTTTTTTATTTCAGTTGCCATTCTTGTTTGTAAGCTTTGAATTATCAACTTTAATTAGTGGTAAGTACTACCAGTTTTTATCAATGATTCTATTATTCCAAAATCATCACATACAGGCTTTAAAATCAACAATCTTCCCACCAAATGTCACAAAACAAATAAAGAAGTTTTCAAGATTCAACAGCAGTTTCCAAGATTCAATACAGGCCCAAAAATCTCAAAAATAACTAACCATAAATGGCTATGTTCTAGACAATGCAAACCACAAAATAACAAACCATATATTACTGAGCCAATACAAGTTCAAAAAGACCATAAATCATGTCATAAACAAAAGAAAAATGACTCTTTTTTACACCAAAAAAACCAAAATATTCAAGGCATCCAAACTGGTCTTTTCTTCCCTTTCTCCTGTGTTTTTCCTTTTTTTTACCACCACCTTGACCTGCTTTGCCTCTGCTTCCACCAACTGCTTTGCTTTTACTTCCACCAACTACTTTGCTTTTGCTTCCACCAACTGAAGTAGTCTTTGATCTCTGGAATAATGCACCATTAGGGCCATGTAATAATGATGGTTGTGAGGCAGACTGTTGGGAAAATGGATTCTATGAAAGAAAAAAAAGTGCAAGTCAAATTTATTGAAAAAATGAAAGTATTCAAAAAAAGGCAAGTCATTCAAATTGATAAATGAAATGAATGCTCACTAAACTAACCTCAAAAGTGGATTGAGAAATATGTGGTTGTTGAGATGAACTTGAATGAGTACAAAAGGTTGTGGCATTGAAGGACTTGATGCAAATGAATTCTGAAACAAACAAATTAAAGTGGTCAAAGATAGTAGGTGACATTTAAATGTTGAGAAAATTAACATAAAATACCCGAAAAGGAGTCTGGAGAATTTCTTCATTCCGAGGGAGTACTGTACTAGGAGCTGACATCTTATTAACTCTTGGAGGTTGGATATTTTTTGGCTGCCAAAATAAATTAAAAATAAAAATGTTACTAGAAATTGCAGATTAAAACAAAAAATAAAATAAAAAATAGAGAGATAATATGACATAAAATACCTTTAGCAACTTAGAATTAGGGTGCGTTTCTCCTTTGCATCCTCTTTTGTTATGCCCAATTTTGAGGCATCTAGCACATGTCACTGGCTTGAAACTTTGGTTTGAACAACAGTTTTAGGGTCTTGTTCATCAGCTGTTTTATTTCTTTATTTCTTTGGCCTTCCAGCTTGCTTTATGATAATTGGAGGAATTAGTGGTGGTAATCCAGACTTCACATAGTCATGCTCCCCTGGAACTGGAAAGATTTGGAAGTTGTAAGTGGCCAGGTAAGCCTCTCTAGTGTAGCAAGAATGCACATAATCCTCTGGTTGATGCTTGTTCAAATAAATGGCACTAACTGCATGCTTGCAAGGAATCCCACTCACATCCCACATCCTACATGTACATGTTTTTGTTGCAAGATTGACTGAGCATTGCCTAATATGAGGCCCCTCACGACACTCTATTTCAAACAACATTCCCCCAGACCAAGCGGGGAAGCAATTATCACTAGCTTGTTTGATTCTCTTCAGTTTCTTGAAAATATTTGGACAATCTTTCCCACATGCTTCAACATACCATTTCTTTTAACTTGAAATCTTACCATTAAATATTTTCTGATACACTCAAGCATTAAGATGATGTGCATATCTCTGGCATCAATAATGTAGTTGTTCCATCTTTTATTCATGTTGTTCACAAGGATATCACACTTTTCTCTTGGGCTGAAATGTGACTTGGCCCAGTTCTGAGGATTAGCATTCATTAACCACTGATATGCACAACTACTTTCTTCACCATTCACAACTGTTGGTGGATCAGCTTTCTTGATTTCATCCATATAGTACTTCCAGTCATTCATATTTGCTGTAGAAGCTGCTTTCCAGAATAGATCTTTTAACTCTTTCCCTTTATATTTTTGTGAAGTTGGCACACATATGCCTTATGTAGTATCTATGTTCAACACCTGGCATCAGCTCATTCATGGTCTCAACTAGACCTTTTTGTCTGTCAGCTGAAATGAAGACCCACCCTCTTTCTTGAACCCCTCTCATGTCTCTAAGTAATTAATTTAGAAACTAGGTCCAAGTCTGTTTGCACTCAGATTCTACAACAGCTACTGCAAGTGGGAACAATTTGTCATTTCCATCTCCGCAAATAGCACTCAACAGTTGACCCCCAACTGCTCCTTTGAGAAAACAACCATCCAACCCTACCATTGGTCTACATGCTGCTAAATATTCACTCTTTTGTGCACCCAACCTAGCATAGAGTCTTAAAGTACAAATAGCCCAGCATGCTAAGTTTGATACAGTTGCTCAAAGTACAAATAGCCCAGCATGTCTCTGTCTTTAACTTCTACAAACTCTACCTTTCCTCCCACATACTTCATGCTAGGTTTCCACATAAAATTTCCTCCATAATGGAATTCTATAGTAACAGAGGTTCTGCAATCATTAAAGAATACATAAGAATATTTTTTAAAGAATTGGGGACCATTCATAAATTCTTAGAATAAGAATGGGGGACCATTCTCACAAAATAAATAAAAAATTGAATAGGGGACCACAATACACATTGAAGGCAGACAACACATGAAGAAAAAAAACACAAATATTAAAATAATTATTACTAATGAAAGAGAAAATTGAAAGAATATAATAAGGGCAAAATCTGAACCTTATGCATTACTTCGAAAGCCAAGAAAATATTTTTCAAAAATTAGGGATTTGAGCCATATAACAAAAAATTGTAAATTTTTGGATAAAAAAACTTTGGAATCTCCAGATTTAACGAAATAAAAAAAATCATATGAAATAATTAACAAACAAAGAATTAAAATGAAATACTTACATTGGATCTTCCATCGCGATTTCACGCTTCATCTGCAAT